GAAGTTGATAGGAAATGAAAAAGTGGAAATGTTTCTGAAATTTGAGCAAAATTCTAAATCTTTTCTACTTTCCTACTTATCTTCGTAGTAAGTTATCCCATGGTTTTTGCATATTTTTCGGAACGGTGTTTTGTAATTCCCAACATCCATAGAACTGACGACAGCAAATACCACGGTATGAAAGGCAAGGACACGTCATGCGAGTTAGTCATGGTTGTTATTAGAGCGGAGCCATTCATGCATTGAAAAACGTATTTTGCGTGTTTTGGCCCTCGAGAGGGCAAAAGGAACATTTGGGATGATAAAGTGTCAGGGGTTGGCAAATAGGTTTCACTGACACAAGTCCAACACTGATTGAGCCGCGGATAGTCAGGAATGTGGGTTATTGCCAGAGAGGCTTCAAAGGTTAAGCGATAGACGGTATACTTGCTGGTGTGTGGCTAGAAGCGATTTCGAAAATGATTTTCAGGAATAGTAAGTGTGTAGGTAAGTAAGGGTATGGGAAGGTAGGAATAGTAAGTTTTGGCGCTATCGCAAGATACGGGGGAATTGTGGTGTTAATAAATTTTAAGGCGCGTTGCTAGAAATGGGACTCAGCTTTGGGCATCCAGGTTGCTCCATTTTCCGCTGAGTCCCTACTCCCTCCTGAGCCTAATACTGAAGAATGTCCCGGATAGGGCGATAGCGTCTAAGTTCTTATGAGCATAACGAAAAAGACGACGAAACAAGCGCAATGAATTGTATGAGTAACCCGTAACTCCCTTTCTGGTTAAGAGTTACCAAGAAGACGATGAAACGTTATCTTGAAAGTTTATGTTCAGGAGGCTGCCGTTGAAGAAGAGTTGAAAAAGACAAGAGAGGAATTGGAGCGCGCTCAGGAAAAATCGGAAGAATTGGAGCGGGAATTGTCGGCGGTGCGAACGCAGCTGACGGAGGCCCAAGCAAGTCTCGCCAGTCAAAGAGTGGATATGGGTGAAACACAGGACAGGATCAATCGCATGGAAGAGGAACTTTTTGCCGCTCGATCCGAACTTGACAACGCCCGTTTTGGTCTGCAAGAAACAACTGCAGTGAAAAAGGAGCTGGAACACCTGAAAGAAGAGGTTAGTGAAAGGATTACGGTAATAAAGAAGCCGGGTGAATAAATACTTCATTCAACTCTGTGATTTATGGTGTCATTTCAGCTGGAACTTGAGCGATCGTCTGGAAGAGCGAAAATGGGAAGAGGTGTGCAAAAAAGTTCTCGAAGGTGAATCGAATTCATCCGAAAGTAGAAAGAATACCCTTTGCGCTTGAAAGTGATCAACAAGGCAAGGTTTTCCTTCTGTTTTCCCCCCCATACTATTTTTTTTCCAGGATTTTCATCCACTTTTCAGGTACAGCATCTTGAGTACATAACGGCATTTGAAGAGAAGATCACCTGTCTGGAGAAAGAGTTGCAAGAGGCCAAAGTAAAGATGGAGCAAGACAAAGCGGTAAGTAGTGAATGATTTGAAGCATGAGGTGGTTCTATTGGCTCATTATCCATTTATCTTTATTACGCAGTGTAAGCAGCTTCTTGTCGTAGTAATGCAGTAATCTATTCTAAGGAACGCTTGACAGTGGGTAGGAGGTCTCAGAGGCGGTGTAATCTTGATATCAAAATGTAACCATCGATCCAGTTGCTTCTGCTTTCTTTCCTATCACTCCAGTGAAACAGCTTCATGTTAGCCTATCGATCTGCATTTCCTCAGTCCTGGCTCGAGTCTTCCCGCGTCACTTTCCCAATTGCGCTTGTGATTATTTTTCCGCGCAATTATGACAAATTCGCCGGACAAGCACCCATCGCGTTCCTACGCTTATTTGATGTATTGATTTGGCTCATGGCGCTGTTTGGCCGCATTGACGCATTATTCGCGTCTCTTGTTCCACAGTTTTCTGGTAACGAGCCGTTTTGAGGCCTGCTTTCATCTCATCTCATCTTTTTCAACTCGTCCTGACTCATTTTAAAGGAATCTTCCACGGAAAAAGCTCCGCCCTCATTACCACAGAAAACGATACCTTAAAGGAATCTTCCACGGAAAGAGTGATCATTTTGTCTTGTGTGTAGGATTAGTATTATCGAAACTAACGCTTATGTTCCGTTCTTTTTGCTATGCTCATGAGGCTAGGGGCCTAAGGTATCGTTTTTCTGTGGTAATGGAGGCGGAGCTTTTTCCGATTCCAATCAATTTGCGGCGTATCAGCGTAATGGAAAGCGTTGAATTGCCCATCTGATGAAATAAACAAAGCATCGAAGCCTCGATTGAACCTTTAGCAACGACTCTTCTCATTCGGGATGGAAGGGGCGTGTCTGGACGAGTTTCCTGAACTTGCCTGCTCCATGGCTTCACTATCCCGCACTTACATATTTGAATTAGCTGCTACGTCCTAGTCTAAGCGTGGCAAGGGCTTTTGCGAGATATTGTCACCACTAGCTAACGTTTACTCTCATTAGCTCATAAGGCCCTAGCGCCATTATTGCGTGGTTTTGAGTCGTCACAACGGCAACACTCTAGAGCAGCACTATCCTACCCACGAATATGTTCTACGGCGACCTCTTCTGGAATTGCTGCTCTATACAGCACTCTGGCTAGAGTCGGCCACCGCTGCGGGGAGTTCGACGAGGGGGTCTTATTTGGGGTTTCCGGAAGAAGGGTCGTGTTTCATGGAGGGAGCAGCGTGTTTTCGGCAGAAATGAGAACAGATATTTGGGAATCGGGAAGTTTTCCTTTGAAGCTAATTTTTACAAAAAAGGGTTGTTCGTAGGACGAGCGTATTGTGCATGCCCTCTATTTCTGAAGAAGAGAAGAGTGTCGAGTGCAGACCACACACCACAAGTGACGACGGCCAAGAAAAAAGCTTTTTTCTTGGCCGTCGTCACTTGTGGTGTGTGGTCTGCACTCGACGCTCTTCTCTTCTTCCGAAATAGAGGGTATCTAGGATTGCCGAAGGAGTGATGTACGGGAGGAAGGTGGTAGGGAAACTACTCTGAGACAGTCATCATACTTGATTCTAAACTTTTCCAACGGAATTTGTTGACCTTGACGTGAATTCTCTATTTTATTCTGAGCTCTGAACCCTGCTATTCAAGTGGCAAGTCAGGCTACGCATGCAAAAGGCTTTGTTCGAGACTGTCTTTGAAGGCTATAGAGCGAAAAATAATTTGTGGATAGATGAGACAATTTTTTTATCAGTTGGAATCGTTTCAGGAGAAGAAGAAGCTAAAAGCGGCGCTGAAGCAGATACGTGACCGAGAGAAATCTCGAAGCGAACTATCCGAAGTGCAGCAACAATCGGTGACTGAGGTCCGACAAAGTGTAGTCCTTCTTGAACCTCTTCAAACTGCTGCAACCCCAGAGTCACCTTCAAGTGAGAAGTCACAGCAACAAGCAGATGTCGATCTAGACCATCTGAAAATGGCACTTAAAGTGGGCAGTTTGCTATGATCAAAATTCTCCTTATAATTAGTTCATCATTCATCGGCACTCAAAATTTTAGGAGCTGGAACTTGAGAATCGTCTCTCCCGAGAGCTGAACACGGAATACAGCCACACAATGCTCGAAATGGAAAAGGAGGTGCTGGGCTTGAAGGTGAGTAGCCATTTGTCATTATCACTGATCATCTTATCTTGATCACCAAATCTCAGGCTCAAATTACCTCGTTACACGGAGAATCCGAGCATTTCGAGATGGAGCTGAAGCTGCACGAGATGCTTGAAGCGGAGTTGGAGAAGGAGCTATCGGATGCCAGAATGAAAAATCAAGTACGTATGTATGCAATTTTTCTCGTTGTTAAGTAAGATATTGCTCAACTTTTCCTCCTCTAGGAGCTCACAGAAGCCATGCAAAATCACGAAGAGTCCCTGGAGATGCTCAGCGGAAGAGTGTCCAGTGATGCAGGAAAGAATGAAGAATCTATTAACGGTTCGTTTTGGTGGATTTCCCTGAGTTTCAAGTTGATTTCCGAATACGTCGTTAGAAAAACGATTTCTCAATTTTCCAAGTCGCGGCCTATTTCAGTGTCAGTGTTTCTACGATTTCTCAATTTTGCAAGTGGCGCCTATTTCAGTTGTGTGTTTCTGTACTAGGTCGGCCCTATAGCAAAAGCTTAGAACCTGCAAGAGCTCCACCGGAATTGCCTTTTTTGACCGTATAATCGCGCTGCGAATTGAGAGCGAAGGCGGAAAACGCAAAATTTTCCCAGAAAACTGCAGTGTAATTGATTTTGACTACTACCGATTTTCCTTTTTGACACCACTTGGACCGGGTATAGAAGAACTCTAACAAAGGAGTACAACGAATAGGAGAATGCCATAATCGAATTATACAGTTACTCAACAAATTACTAGTTCCTCTTGTGATTTCTTACGGGAATCTGTTGAATTCGCCTTTCCTATTGTGGAGTTTACAGACTGATGCGCCATTTTTTGAAGTCGAATTTTTCAATTATGATTCTCGGTCTTGGGGAAGTACTTCGTGTCTCGTATTCTATAGCTGTCGTATTATCGGATAAAATGTAAAAGGTTGAAAACCTATTTCGTTGCTTGCTTGACCGCGCTAGATCGAAGTAGGTTTTTCAGTTTTTGACGGCCCTTTAGAAAATCTTTTGCTAAGTCTTTTTTAACAAAAATGCGTAAGCCTATCGGCTATCTCTACTAGATCCTTTGATTCCTGGTTTAGCTGACCTACTATTCCATTCTGACCAAGTAGCTTAACTTTGGTGACGAGTTGAGTTAGTGGCTACATGCTCACTCATAAAGACAAGACAGTAAGGGGGTATGACCAATGAAGGTCCCTATATTCCGCCTCGATCTTCTGCAGCACAAACTCAACATGCCACTAAAGCTGGCCTACTCAGGGGTTTGAAGTTGCCACCTACCTATCAGTGGGTTAAAGTGGAAAACGGCTAAAATTTTATAGTTGGTTCCACTTTTTCGCCGTAGTGACTGCGCATGTAGTTGGTCCACATCTAAACCATTCCATTCCCGTCACGTTAACAAGCGAATTGATTCTACTATTTACGAAGGTTTGAGCAATGCTTAATTCCAGAACTCATGGCAGAAGTTCGTGAACTGCGTGAGCACAATGCCATGTTGCAACAACAGCTAGAAGTTGCTCAAGACAAGGTTGCTCAAGAAGAGAATCTCTTAGCTCAGGAACGAGAGCACTTCTCAGAAATTGACAAAGGTTTGCTTTTACTTTCCATAGCCCTTTTCGTTGCTCCTATCAATAGCAAGGTTTTAGCACATAGTGAAGAAGTGAGAGAGTTGTCGATCACATTGGCCGACGCTCGTCGTACAATCTCGGATATGGAAGTGCGATTATCCGAAGCCGAGAATAACTTCGAAGAAAGTCGAAACGCTCAATGTTCACCGAGCTGAAAAACGCTTTGGATGAGAAATCGAGGGAAATGGCTCAAACTTGATCGTGAACTCACCCGATTGCGAGAAGCTGAAATCGTTCAGGTATCTTCTAAGAAAATCTGATTTGAATTATTTTTATGTGAAGTTCTATTCACAGATGCCTGCGGCATCTGGCTCGAAATGTGCTCGGATCCTGTTAGTTAGACCGATAGTTGACAGAACGGCATGAACCGTAAGGAGAGTTCCTGATAGTGTAGCATGAAAGAACTTTTCTCTCTTATCCTTCCCTTAAAATCAACACTGCCTGCTTCGATCCTTTTCTACTGTGGACCTTATCCCTGTCCTTCTTGTGAATTTCACACTTTTCTTAGCTTCCTATATTCACCATTCTCGAGTTGAGTAAATGTTGCTATAACAATGTCGAACGAAGTAAGCTGTTTGCCCTCGCTTTCGGCCCCATCCCTTACCCAAGTAGTAACTAACTTTGAACTTAACCCCTACGGTTGCCAGTTAAGGGCCACGAATTGTAACGGCAGAGTCCCTGCGCGCTGCGGACAGCCGCGGGTGCCCTCCACGACACTTGTTTTGATTCATTTTGTGTATTGTCTGCTCCCTTGCATGTCGTTCTTACTGGGATATGGACAAAGAGCGGGAATTCGAACACGTGTGAAGATTAGTGGTTCCGTCCGTGCTACTTCTTTCGAATCCGGGAAGTGCACTTGTGTAGCCCCGTAGTAGTAGCTAATCTAGTGAATGAATATGTCCATTTACGGATTTCCCTTGTATGTCCGATCCTTTAATTCCTCCCTGGTCAAACAGTTAGTTAGAAAATTAACACCTCCTTCGTGAGTAGGATAGAAAGGATGTATATCAAGTGATAACCTTCAGCAAACCGCCCTTCTACGAGCTCCAAGCACCACGTCTGAAATTGTGGCCAGTGTACTTGTGGGTGAAACCGAATCGGTTCGATTAGACGCTAGCCAAGAGGCTGTTCCGGAACCAGCCGAGACCAAGCATTCGCAAGAGGCGCCGTCGACAGCCACGTACAGCTGAATCATGCTCCAGCGGAAAGCCTTGATGAAGGTGAGAGTAGGACATGCCGAATCATTTCGTTCATCTCAATTGGTTCCTTCTGCAAGCGAAAAGCGTTCCTGTGAGTAGGGCGCATTGCCCGTAAGTTACGCGTACCGCGTGGAAGAATGATCTCTTGCTGGAAAATTAATTTTCTAGCGACAATGTATCAACGAGATCAGAGTCAGATGCAGAACGACCCGCACCCAAGGTATTGTCAGAGAGCGGTGAGTGAGTCAGGTCCATTATAACCTGTGTGGCGTCAGATCGCCATTGGTATATGTATGTTGATGTCAGCGAGGTGAAAGTATGTGGCAGTTGAAGACCGAGAACTCGAAACATGCGGTCGAGAGCCCTCAAAGGTGAGAATTATTGCGTTCGCTCATTATGGCGCAAGCTGGGGCAAAGCGGGTGAGGTCAGGTTTGTGTGGCATTAATTTTGGAGGCGCACGGGGGAGACGGAGAGCCGGGGGGGGTGGTGTGGAGGAGCGGGGAGGGTAATGGAACGTATTCAGTCTATCCTGGATCGAGAACAACTGCAAGATCGAGTGGTAGAATTGGATTCATCGCTTGCAGCCAGAGAAGAAGAGAGCCGATGCTCTTGATTGTGAACTGTCAGAGCAGGTACGAATAGCTGTTTGGGTATAGAGACCCTGGAAGCTCCCTTCTGTGAAATTTGATAATACATCTGTCACCCCTTTCGTAGTGTCTTTGCTTTATCTTTTCTTATAGACCGAGCTTACCGAGAAAGCTTCCCGTCAAGCAGCAGAAGCTGAGAATGAAAGCAACCGTCGCCTGGCCGAATGTCTCGAAATGGAGACTCGAAGGTTGGTAAAATCTCTTTTATGCTTCCGAAGCATCCAGAATTTAGACTCTTCTACATTGTAAGATATCGTCGAGGTTAAGATCTGTGCGATGGGTGGCGTGGGTAGCGAGTAGAACGTGTGGGATAACATAACGTTTTACCAGTTGCTCCGATGTGAGCTGAAGCTTTGCTTTGTGCCTCTGCGGTCTTGTGGAAGCAACCACTGCTTTTGCCTTTGCTGCTGAAGTAAGTGGTGTTCGTCTTTATACTCATTTGTCAGTATACTTTGGAGTTTGGGTGATGTATTATATGCGTCGCGAAAAGCGGCGAAGACACAACTGCTTTCTTCGTTACCATGGATAAAGATGGACCACAAACTTTGATTTATCGCGTCTAGCGTTGAGTCAAATTCCGTTTAGGATTGCGCCAGTGCTGGTGTCTTCGGCTCCCCGTTCGGCGGCGCTGCGCTCTTCGTGGCGCCCTCCCGCCCATGAGATCTCGACTGGGAATCGTATCTAGAACTTGAGATGTGGGGTGGCCTAAGAGACTATGCTCGGCCGAGTCCAAGCTGAGTTCAAGTTCTTTTTATCTCCCGGCCACGAACCGTTATGCTTACCGAGTCACGCGCGCCCCCGGCAGGGATGGAAGCTTCGGTGCCGCGGATTTGATCGAAGAGCTGGCTCCCAGATTGAGGTTCCTTGGGAAACGGCGCTAACGTGTCGTACCACCACCTTCTGCCTCGGGATGATAATATTGTATATGGCGAGGTTGACTTGAAGCTATTTAATTTACTCGCCAAGAACTTACTGAAGTACACCCATTTCCAGAGAGCAGGTGGAAAAGGCATACGCTCAACTAGCGAATACTACAGTCAACTACAAGCCGCCTACAATGTGATTTATGCCAAGTTGAAACAAATTGAAACGGAAAAGGCAGTTGTTGAGAAGGAACAGCAGGTAATTCAAGGTGACTCGGCTATCGTAACAAGAAACATCCGAAATTACATCTATTTCAAAATCTAGAGAAAATATGAGGTCTGGGGCGCCCTCTCGCATAACTAACACAATATGCCATTTCAAATGCGGGCCCTTGAACTTGCTTTGATAGTCGAAGAGTTTTGTGGAAGAAATCCCCAACTCCTCTCACTCGCAGACCTTATCTACCTCTCGTATGTGACGATGTGCGGCGTCAGACTCTTGTCAAAGTGCTGCATAACGCGACGGGCGATGGTATCGCCGTTTAAAAGTGCGAGCGACGTGAGATTTCCCCGCCGACGACCGATACACACGGCGCCGCTCGGGTAAATCTCCCGCGTCTGCTCGCACTTTGGAGCGATGCCAATCGCACGTCGCTTGTGCACATTGCAAGAGCGACTGCATCGCGCGATGCAATCGCAGAGTCTGACCGACATCTAATTGTATGTTTGCACGCCCTCGCGGCCAAAAAAGCTGCTGGAGGAGAGTATGCAATCGCGCATTTCCGGGCCTCTCTAATGTGGCGATGCGGGTCAGTTTAACCTGTCTAGCTTGTCTACCTTGAGTTCCACCCTCTCCATCAAAATGCCCACACCTCTACCAGTCCGATCATACGAGGGCAGGGACGGACACAAGTTGTCTACAAGATTACGAGCCCTTTCCTTCCCGAATCTCCATTGACACGGAAGAGCCCGCGACCCTATCCACGGTCCCAAGGAGTGCCCATGAGAGTCAGAAGCAGCGGCCTCGAACGCAGCCCAGGGGCCCTTAAGTCTGCTTTCGCCGTAATTTTTGATGTGGTGACTGCCCTAATGCTAGTTCCCTTCGTATTTTTCAGTTCTTGTAATAAATGCAGTAGCTTTTCATCAGTAAGTAATTTCAGACAGCCAGCTCATCTACACATGATCAAAATGTCGAGCATGTGGTGGATACTATGATTTCTGTAAGCGTTTGAGGCGTTTACGGCTGTTGATTGAATCAAATTTCCAGTTCATAAAGAGGAGAATTTCAGGAATTGCACTTGGAGTCGATAGTGAGCTCAGTCTTCAGGGCAAAGGTCGGCTGATGCAGAAGAAGCGCTACGAGAAAAACTTGCTGAGGTAAAGAATTTCCGTCTTTCATTAGTAAACTGTGATTGAGTCACTCTTCGTAGTGAAAACCTATGCTTATATTTGTGCATAGAAAGTGTGCGTATTGATCGACCTATTGCCTAAATGGGTTATTGCGTAGTGTTGCATTTATTGAGCAATTAAACTGTCTCGGCTTCTTCATTCAAAAAAACAATATTCCTCTTAGCGATTAGGTAGTTAGAGAGGCGAGAAAGCTGAATGATCTCCTCCAGATGGGCCACGCCTTTTAGTTTTGCACTTCAAATCACGCCCACAGATGTACATTTTTGTTTTTCAAGTGCAGTATCAGTAGTTTTAGGAACTCATTTTAGATCTCTGACGCTTTTTTAAGAGCCCACTTTTTGGAATAGCCGGAAAAATCATCGGGATGTCTCACATTCTTACTCAAGAGATCCTACTAACAATTATACTCGATACCTATAAAGCTAAAGAACAATAAATTGTTCCAACTAGACTGGCTTAGAAAAGAATAAAATAATTTTCTGGAGAAATTATTACAATTAGGGATACTATCTGGAGGGAACTACAGTTCAAGGGGTTTCAAGGGCAGCGGTCGCGATGGCTGAGAGAACGGGTACCTGGTCACACATGGTGACAAGGCAGAGAAGGGAGCGGACTGTCCAATGCACCTGGTCCACCGCTAGAAATGCGCGACCGCTGCCGTCAATGGGTTTAGAACTTTCAATGCATATAAAAATGACGGTTTTATAGCAAGCTGCTGGTGGCGGAGTCAACCCAAGCCTCTGTGTTCTGATGGAGGGAAATTTTGAGTCGGGCGCGTGGATTGTACACTCAAGAGAGCTTTTTTCGTTCCTCCTTGTCATCTTCCAAGCGTCGCTCCAATGTCATTCGACTGCAGTATTGTGCTATCCTAGGTTATAAAAGAACTCAGGATGGCTTCACTTCGTCGCCAAATACGATCTCGGGTGTGGATCGGTGATGTTGATAGATAGATATTGACGGATGGATTGGATTTATTACTGCAATACCTCCTATAACGAGCGTTCTGGGGTTTGCACTGTTCTGCGTGGTCGTGATAAGAGGCGTTGAGGTCTTGGCCCAGGCTTGTCGAAAATTGGTGTTGCTTCTTCTTGAGCTTGTAGTCGTATTCACAGTTTGAGGTTGAATGGCACTTTCCGTTATCGGCTTATAATCTTCTAAATGAGCCTCGCCAAAAAAAGAGCCTCAAATTGTGAATCAGAAATTGCTCGATTGCAACCTCTGGACGAGGCCATGTGAGTTTTTAGCATACTTAGACGGAACAACTGGCAAGGTTTTCTCAGCATCAGCGAAATATGTCGTCTACTACCAGCACGCCTAAGATTACTGAAAAAATTGCCATCAATCTTTTTGTAAGATGAAGCTCCTAGTCTTGAGTCAGATTTTCCTCGGTCGTTGTAGTATCAGCTGTTTATCTACTCTCATACCATTAAAATAGTAGAACCTGAGCTTGAGTTTCAGCTGGAACAGCATCATTTGGCGATCGCTGAACATCGTCGCACAAACGAAGCTCTCAACGAGCAGCTTCGATGCCTTGAGGAAGAGACGCAGAAAGCCGGTGGTGAGACTGTGGATGCGAAAGCACGTCTGATGCAGTTGGAGGGAGAGCTGGAATGGAAACAAGACGAGTGCGACAGTTTGCGGAGGAGAGTCAGCGAGGTCTGTCCAGGTTTACTCTCTTTTTATTAATTTTTCAAAAATCTGTTCAATTTCCGTAATTTCTCCGTATTCTCTGTAATTTCAAAGGCTTCCCTAAATGTTTGGATTTAGTAAGTATTCGTCCTAGTATAAGCTTCCTTCATTGCGACCTCATGATGAAGATTGAAAGCAGTTGAGTTTATCACCGCTTTTCTGAAAGTGCGTCTTCTTTCTGTATGCATGACTTTTTGTTTCTGAAGAACCATACGGTATATGAAGCTGACTGCGTACACAGATAGTTATGATAATACGTCAGTGTTGATGATGGTTTACGATTAGTCTTCTCCTCCCTTTTAGTGGCCCTTACTCTCCCTCTACCTTTCGTAGTAATCAGTAGTATTATTTTCGTAATAATGTCTCATGTTTGCAGTTGCAAGCCGCTATCGATCAGCTGGTGGAGCGGAACAACGAAACAGATGGTGAGTTTTTCAAGAGCAAAACAGCTTCTTTTCTCGTCGCCTTGCACTGCTTGATACCTTCTGTCCGGGTTGTTGTTGTGATGAGACGCTGTCGATTAGATAGGTTTTGATTTCCTGTACATTTTCGATTTTTTCCAGAGCTGTTCTTAGCGCCTAAGGACTAAGTTCTTATGTTTTTTTTGGTTTCAAAGTCCCCCTGTACCTTCTGTAATGCACAGCGCTAATCAGGTATTTAGTCGAGCCTTCGGAAAATTTTTGACGTCCTGGCTGGTAACTACGACAGCAATCCAGCCATATTATGTCTAAGTGTTTAATTTGCTTAATTCTGAGCTTTCTTTTTTTTCTTGTTATTCCTACTTCGTTCATGAAGGGTGGCATAGTAACGTAGTAGCGCTACCGTACGCCTCATCCATAGTATTACCGAGCCAGTATGTAGTAGCGGGTTTGAAAGGGTACAAGATCTTTCTAACTGCTTAGAAGTCTATTTTCTGCCATCTTTGAAAGGACTGTCCATCACTGCCTTTAGTTTATGTGGTCATCGAAGATGTTCTCTCCCTGCTTTCTTCAAAATTATTAATGAGTGAGGCGTTCGGTGTTGATCACCCTTTTTGGGATGCGCCAGGCAATCTACTCTTATTTGTAATCATGTTGGCATTTGAATGCGGTTTGGACTTCAGTACGGTTACTTACGGGGGCAGCTAGCCTTATTTTAGTGCTTTTATCTTCTGATATGCTTTAGTTCCAACTAGACAACTGCGGTATGGGAAACGTACTTAGCTGCACTTTATTAAACGTAGGAACTAATTTCGGACCATAACTGGCAAGGGGCCGCTTAGCACTACACCGCATCTGCTCAACTTTTTCTGTGAAGCATAAATCGTAACTTTGAGTGTATAAGAGTGAACCATGTATTAAGTTGAGGTGGATTGTTCGTGGTTTGCTAAAGGGGGGAGGTCATAGGCGTAGAGGTGCGTAGAGGGTGGGCAGGTTTTCTTAGGATAGAGGTGCAGAAACATCGTAAGTGCCACAAGGAATGATTGTGTCACAGAGAAAGAGTCTCCTTGTTGTATGTTAAAGAAGTGGTTCATTCGCTTGCCTCTATTATTTTTTCAACTTGAAATTTCCCTTCTACAGAATCATTCCTTCATTTTCTATTCTTCAAGCTTCTGTCTGAATTTATTCTAGGCATTGAATGCGAGCAGAAGGGCTAGGACAATGTTCCGTTCCCCGTTCAATTCCCCCCAGTCGTTGTGATGTCATCTCGCTGTAGGTGGTCGTGCGCTGTCCTCATCTAGGAACACTTTTCCTCGTGAACCCATTCCACTGACCGATTTATCTAACGATTTTTGCGATTATTGCTCGACCGTTGCAGACGAAGTGATCGTTCCAGTTTTGCACTAAACAGAAGAGGTGTCACCTGCTCTTATGGCAATATTTATTTATTTGTTTGTTTATTCACTTAATTATTTGTTTTGTGCTTATGAAGGGTATAAGTCGTGTAATGCTAGGCAACATCAAGAATACGAACTATTTCGTAAAAAAATACAAAACAAATCCTGGAATCAACCGTAAACAAGTAATCAAGCAAAGTTGGAGAAAGCTTCAAAAAACACAAAATTGAAAAAAAATTGTAGATTGTGCCTTCACTTATTAGGGCATGCTTTCGAATTGATGCGGATTTATCGATGTTGACGTATATTTCTTCTCCTCTGATTTTTATCATAACTAGCCTAAAGATTCATGCTCTTGATTTATGGAAGTTCTTATACTACGTGCAATAGGGCAGAAATGATAACAATTTAGCATTCGTCAGAATTTCTTTTCGCTGGTCCACTCTTATAATACTTCGTGCAAACCTTCTGCTGCTTTTCTACTGCTTTTCGTATTGAGTTTTCGCTTCGCTCGCTAAAATCGCTAATTTTGCTCCATAATAATTGCCATATTGCTTGAAGAGCTTACAATACCATACTAACGACCCTCTCTTTTACATTTCGTTCAGCAGTTGAAGGTTTTCGATACGTTTTCCAAGTAATCTGGTTCTGTAAGTAGAGGCGTTTCGCCAAATAAAGCAAATAGCTGAGGAAGGTGCAGTGTTAACCTGTTAACGTGTACTATTTAACTTATCAGTCATAACTCGCTTAAAGATTATTCGGAGCCATCTGCCATCAAAGTTTATTAACTCACCCATTTTTGAGCTTGGCACTGTTTTCCACGATGATAATACTATCTCTCGTGCCAGTAAATTGCTAAGTGAAATCCGCCGGGACGGGGCTGGGGGGGGGGAGTAGCACAAAAAAGTCATTTGTCGGGTACCCCCAGGAGGCCCGTCGCGCGACAAGAAGGCGAGTCAGCGGACGAGTTCCGCGCGTACTGTAGGGATTTCGCGTCAAGTCAAATAGCATGTTCCATTGTACGTCCTACATCGCTCACGCGCTGCGACTCGTCCGGCGCTTGCCTGTCTTGCGCGCCGATGGGCTTCTGGGGTACCCTGTGCGCGATATTTGCCTATCGAGGCTACACTGTCGCTTGTTCGAGTATGAGCCCGTAAGATCAGTTGAGTGTTCCGGTATTAGCAGCTTGAACATGGGAAGTCTGAGTAAGCCTAATATTCAAATAATGCGTAAGGCTGTAAGTACTTTGGGGATACACTTTGGGCTGTATGTGTTCAGAATCCCAGGTTATGGCTGGATCTTAGTGAGCGCCTTTAACCCGACCCTCGCAAGGGCTCGTCTTGTTTCCGGTGGGCTTTATGGCCTATATCTGCGTGTGGTCCTTCCTACTCTCGTTAGCGATTCACATTTTTTGGTCGCCACTGGGTTCCTGTCAAGCAGGCTGGACTAGTTGCATGTCGAGAGGGAGTCTGGCGATAGTAGGTCTTAAGGGTTTTTGGTGAAGCGGCGCGCTAAGCGTAACGATCATTATGCGTAAGGTCGAGCGTATGCTGATAATCCGCTCCAGGGAGGGCAGCTCAGCCTAGTGATGGTTGGTATGGTGAGGCAGGGGTGGCGTGTTGGAGAAAATCAAGCCAGACGAAGATGCTCGTGATGACGTCCATCTATGGTAAACTATCGCGTGTGGATGTGGTCAGTAGGGAAAGCGGTTCTCTAGTTGGAAATGTTTCAGGCTTGGTTCTTATGTTGCATGTGCCATGCCTTTCTTGCTGTCATTTTACGGCTTGCCAAGTGTACCGTTCACCTTCTTTAAGCTGCTGTAATGCTCGTTATATGCTTAATAGCCTTTATACTTCTCTTTACTAAAGTTCTTCTTTTTTCGACTCTTCCGTCAGCGGATTTTCGGAAGGATTCGGCTAAATATCTGTAGGGCTGTCATTGTTGGTGTGTGATTCATTTTCCGGAAGTCTGGTGATGGAAAGCGGGCTGAGTCACCGTCGTCTAACTGCTTACCACATCGATGTGCCGCCATCGTCTCAGCATTTACCATTGGCACGCCTTCACAATCTTTCTGTTCTTGATTTCAGTAGTAGTGTCTGTCCATTGCATGATGTTACTATGTGTCTGTACGAGTGTGCTGTGTCCTGCATGCGGCTTTTGGTTAGCCACAACCATTGGTGTGAGCGTTTGTTCGAGACGGCGGTGACACAGCTAGCGCCATTACAGCTCTGGCGGCCTCGGAGTCTACGCTTGAGCTGGCATGTTTTAGCGGGCCAGTTGGCACGCCAGGCGGATCGTCGACGCGCTCTTCGTGCAATGCCGATTGGCACATACGGACGTTGTTTGCGCGAATGCAACTCCGAGTGAGACGAGGAGCCGAGGGACAATGGCGAGCGATGGAGCCACAGAATTCAGAATGTAGGTCCCATGGGGCGGCGACAATCATTATATATGTTGTTTTTAAAGAATGTTGGGTTGGGACAGCTTTGGCGTCGCACCAGGCAAGACTAGAACGCCCACTAGCTTCGGGCAGTGCCGCTACCAGGTACGCTCGGGCACATTTTATTTCCAACGTTCTGGTTGGTATACTAAAATAGCTTTCTGCATTCTCATGTATAACGTGTTGAGCCGGTTAGCCAATATCAACATTGACCCGCGTGACCTTATATACCCTTGTGTTTGGTGCTCTTTAAAATTGAGCAGTACGAATTAAAGTGATTCCTTTCATGGTATTAGGGGGGGGTGGGCGGATCGCGACGCAACGCGTACGGACTCCTGGCGTGGTGGGAGCAGTTTGCTGCGGCAATTTCCGTTCAACGACCTCGTCTTTTTCGCCGAGCTCCTATCCTGACGTCTCCCAGTTTTAGGGTTTCTCAGCCAGGCGGACGGCATATAATATAGATTATGAGAAAGAGGAAATCATGATGTTTTGATCTCTGGGAATTTTACGATTGAATCACAGGGCTGACAGCGGGGGCTCATCCTCGGGTACGCACTTCTTCTGAGCAAAATTAGTGTGGAGTGGTCGTCCCCCCCCACGTCCGGTTTCCCTGGTACCGCCGTGGTCTGCTGGGCCCAGCTGCTTTCAGTTCAACGGGTATACGTGAAACTGAGGTTGGTCACAGTATTATCAGTAGGCTGCTTGTAAAATCCTGTGATAGGTTCATGCCTTCAAAACTGCTTCCTTTTCAAGGCCATTAAGCTCTGAACGTAAAGATTGAAGGACGGGATTATCCACCCACTGAGGTCCATCCACCAAAGCAAAAAGAGTGCGCTGTGGGCACTATTGTTACCTGGGTAAAGATAGGTTTATAAGGCTTAGGATTATAAAAATTATGGGACAACGTTCGTAATCTTCTCAGATCGCGGATCGTTAGATTGATCAAGTATTTTTAATGTGATTCTAATATTTTTAGGCAGAGTGGCGTTGGCTCGGTCAGTGATAAAATCGCTCGTAGGCAACTGGAAGACGTCGTAGGTCAAATCTCCATGATAAAGTAGCAAAATGGAGAGTTTTGCTGTGGAGAGGGATGGACCACCGAAGACGGATCTCAAGGTAGCGTCCGAGGCAGCATGAGTAATTAGCATGATAATAGTTATAAAGGATTGGATTGGCCTCCACGCGGTAATATTAATAGCTGATATCAACCCGCGTCCTTTTTCATTGTCGCGGGTGATTTGGGAGGGATTTAATGAGATGTCTCTGATGGGCGGAGGTAGTGGCCGTCATTTGGTGACTGTATTGTGGGAAATGGAGAAAGTAGATTTGCGCTCTGGTGTAGAAGAATTGAGAAAAAAACGGTTACGAGACCATTCAGGGAGAGGTCGCTTTCACAGTTGTGATTGACACTTTGTCTTTTAGTCCTGGTCTTGCGGACAGAGGGCTTGACCGGCTGAGATGGAATCATTTCTTGCCAGATAGTCCTTCGAGAACATGTACGTAGAAGTGTGCTGTCTTAGCTTCGCGTTGAACGCGGGCTGGCTGCGCGGCGTCGGGGCTGAATGGAAGTGATGACTGGAAGATTACGCTACTGATATGCGAGCAAGGAAAGTAGGGATTGCGCGTAATCTGTTGCGTGCTGGAGTACGCCCATTGCCGTCACGGCATTCGAAATCGTAGGGTGAGAATGGCAGTGCCCATATGCAACGGCTTGCGCAGGCCGCCATTGTATAAGTCAATGTTGTGTCCTCCTAAACAAGTCTGGTACAATTGACCGACTCGGCGGGGTGGAAGATCGGTTGATTTGGACGACTCGGTATTGCAACTTCGAACCGTGCTCCTGATAAATGACGCTACTCGCCGCGACACCTGCTCGGCCAACCTGAGAAAATACTACTGATTTAATGGGAAGTTATGAAAACATTATTACAAAAAGAGATGACCAATCAGCTGATCATATACTGACCTTAGCTAAGGTGCAAAGTTATTTTATTCAATATTAAACCGTTTCAGGCACCGACCTACCACGAAGTGCGTTCGTCAGCGTCAACCAGCTTGGAAGAATCGGTGAAAGAATCGATCGACTTGCGAGAAGAGGTTGGTTTTTTTCGGAATTTTTACGAATTATTATTTTTTGACGTACTGGCAAATGGATAATATTTTAGGTGGAGCGACTGCAAGCTGTCGAGAAACTGCTCAATCAGCGGATTATGGGTTTGGAAGATCAACTGCTCGAGGTGGAAGAGAAGTATCAGGAAGTGGAGGAAGAGTTCATAAATGAAAGGAAAAAGGTGGAGACTCTGGAAGCCGAGAAGGTGTCCACCGCAAGAGAAGTGGATGTGGCCAATGCCTCTATACAAAGTACTAGTGGTGATGGCAGTCAGTGGGGCTACAGCGACAGGATGGATTCCGCCATGGAGAGTGACTTGCAACAGCAGCTGGAAGTGGCCAGAGATGAAGTGCTGAGCCTACAAAAGGAATTAGACAAGGCTCGCAAACAGCAAGCTGAAGCATCTGCTGAAGATGGTTGGGGAATTGAAGCATCGAGCAGTGCTCAAGAAGAAGTCGAACTATTGCGAGTGCAAGAAGAATTGCAGGAGGTCAAGGAAGCAGTTAGCTGATGCAAGGCAGCACCGCAGTGAGCGCGAGTCAGCTGAGGTTCAACACCATATTCACGAGAAGGAACGAATCGAAGGCGAGTTGAGTGCAGTAAAGAAAGAACTTGACACAATGCGACAGCTTCTGAAAGAAAAGGACGCATTGTTAGCGGCTGGTGATAAGCCGGACGAAGAATGGGGCTGGGACGATACGCAGCCCCAAGCCTCAGCCTCAGCAGAGATCTCTACGCTACGGGAAAAGCTTTCGGAAATGGAAACAATCGAGCGTGAACATCAGGAGACGATACGAAAACAAGAAGCCAAAATTACTGCTTTGGAGGAAGAGCTGAGCACTGCTGACACGTGCCGAGAAGAACTAGAGGATGCTACTCAACAGGTCAACGAGCTGCAAAGGGAACTGAGAGAGGTGGGTAGAAATTTGATCAAGTTATTAGCAGGGAGGTCAATAGTGGCACCTTCACGATCCCAGCCTACGGCCCTTCCCTGCTCCAGTTCTAGATGGTGCCGACAGTTCAGTAGACAAGTCATGCTCAACCTGGCACAGTCCCAACTCCGCCCCTGAATTCCGTAAACTGGTAACGTAAAATAAATGTTTAGCTACCCAAAGAAGTTTCCTCTCCCCTTGTCTTCCACGAATTAAACTCTACTTCGCAAAATGCAACTATTTCCCCAGACTCGCAATTTACGCCCCCTCCTTCCTCCCCCTCGTTTTTCTCGGTCACATGGACCGTTGGCCCTGAGTCTCATGTAAGCGCTACATTGGAGCACTGGTCCGAAAATGAGGGCTTCCGAACTCCATAATCTACCTTCTGGTCGCCGTCGGTGAAAACGATATGTATGAAGTTCATTAAAAATAAGCTGTACAGTTTTCCGCGCTCGGACTCCCGATTTTCTCTCAATAACTGATATGGTGAACTGACTCTTTGAAATTTTTGCGCTATTTTTTTAATTTTGCTCTTATTTCTACTATTTGAACTGGGAAATCTAAAGATTTTCGGTTTCACATAATCTCGAAGGGATGAGGGCTTACGCTGGCAGATTCTAGCAGTCCTAGTTTGAGCCTTGTGGGTGAACTTATCTGACTGAGATGTCTCTTCAGATGAAGAAGCAAGCCCAGATGCACAGTGAAGAGCAGCAACGTCTGATGAGCAGAATCTCTGAGTTAGAGGCGAAAAGCGACAACGCTTGGGGTGATGAGTGGGATAACACCACCAGCAAGACTGACGAGGATAAGCAGGCGTTGGAGCAGTCAAGATCCGAGGTTCGCACTCTATTACTATCTGGGAATTTTTTACTGTAACATTATTATTGTATTTTAGTGTAGTATTACAATTGCCTCCTTTTTACCAAGCATAAGATCTTCTTGCAGGCTTACCAAAAAATCGCTGAATTGGAGTGAGATCGAACGAGGCTGTGCATGTGCCCTCGTAGATGCCGAAAAGGAATTGACGGTGTTGCGAGAACGTATTGAGAAAATTGGGGCTGAGAAGTCTGATCGCAGGTACTTCTTTCTTAAAGGAGGATTTCACGATAAAAACGAAGGTCAAGAAGGGAAATTGCATAGCTGGGAGACAGGCGGGACCTCCTGAAGGGTGTTGACCGACGCGCAATTGGTAGCTAAAGATTTGACCTCGACGACCTAGCATGGCTCACTCTTGGCGCAGTTGGCGGGGTACGCCCACCAATATCTACCAGGTCTATACGTGGCGAGTGATTAGATAGCAGCGTAGTGTTGAAGAGGGCACAGCGATGAGAGTCGCATCAATGCGCAAATCAACGGGCAAGGAAGGGGTCCCATTTCTCGGGTTTCGGGCCGTTTCAAATGGTTTCTTCTTCATCCCTGCTCCACTGACCACCTCTACCCTTATTTCCAATGAGCTAACTTTTCATCGTAAATTCTGCCTTGATCGCGAGTCTAGCTTCAAAATTGCGAGTATAGCTTTTAGCGTTTTCCTTGCTGTGTGGCGTGTGTTTTTCTTTGAATCGCATAAGACCGGCTTAATGTCTAAAATGGTTTCCTCGACATTACTTCTCATCGTCGGTTGGATTTCCTAGTGGGCAAGAGCATGTCAAACATTTCTTTGGAGGGGGAGCAATGGCGAAGTTAGCCTTGGTGAGAAAAAAGCATAAGCGATTTGATCGCTGACAGAACATAGTGCTTTGACACCCAAAGCATTTCTCAATGCACTGCACGCTCTGCCACAGGTGCCACAAGAAACGTAACGCGACCGCACGCAGCTCTGTAGTCGAAGGTGTACTTGCTTGGGCAAACTTCATTACTGTTATTGCACCCGAGTTTTTTTTGAAACATAGTCGCAATGTTCTCTAGTCCAGTTCGCGCTATATTTATATTTGTTTCAAATATAATTATGTTTAGACAACGTCTGAGGAGCCCACCTCCGATGAGCAGTCAGCAAGAAACGTAAGTGAACTCTCTACGCTTGTAATCCGTTTGGGTCATGATCGTTTGGTCTGAATATTTTTTTTCGAAAGCAAACGATAAATAAATAGTAAGTCGAGAAAAATCCACTCAAAAGTATATAATTGATTTTCAGACGGAGAGTGAGTTGGAAGCGGAACGTGAGCGAAGGGAAGAGGCGGAGGCTTTGGCAGACAACCTGCGACGAGTAGCTGCCACGTTAAGAACTCAGGTGATTGTCACTGCCTCTTTATTGTTATCAGCTTCACCTTTCTTGCTGCTAGTGGGGCCTAGTTCATACATAACGCCCAGCGGGGTTAGCCAAAAACGGGCGCTGTGTGTTGGGGGGGGGGGGGGGCGCTGGTCTGCTTGGATCGCGTCAGGCAGTTTAAGGATTACTCGACTACCCACCTCAGCATGGGTTGACCCGCGGTCAGTATTGATTTAACATCGCTCTACCCTGTCAGCCATCTCATAAAGAATGAGTAATCATACATCCTTACCTTACCAAAGTCGAGGCGTCGAGCCCTGCCCACTTGCTGCTAAAAAAGGCCAAGCGGTCGATATATGCCAGCTCTAGTGCAAAGCTCCACCTCTTCCAGGCTTTCCATGGACATGACTGTCGGTTACCTAACCATTTACTACTTTGTATTTATTCAGAAAGGCAAATTTCATCATATTTAGATTGATGATCTGCAAGAAAAGCTGCTTCTTCAAGCAGAATCTGCCGAGGAGAAGCAAAATCAGCTAACCCAACTGACAGCTGAAAATGAACGCCTACGAACGGCAATAGCTTCACGAACGGAACTGGTAGAAGCTGAGCATCAACGAAGCGAATCGGAGTTGGAGACGTTGTGCGAGGAGAGGCGGCGAATCCAGGACGATCTGTCAAGCGCCGAGAATGAGAAGATCCGTCTAGAGGAACAACTGATGGCGTGTGAGATGAAGTGTGATGATCTGAAGATTGAACTGCAACTCCAGAAAGCAAATATCTCCGAGCTCACCGAGATGCACGAGGAGGCCAAAAGACGTTGCGAGGATGCGCAAGCAACTCTCCAGGTATTTGAGACGATTTGAATCTCGAGAAAAGGGCTTTGAATTTTTTTTTGATTTTTAGACTGTCGAAGCTGAAAACTTCACACTTGTTGAACGATTGGCGAAAGCTGATAAAGAACTAGAGGAAGTAAAGGGTCAACTTCGTGCAAGACTCGCGCAAGATGAGGTATGTCCGTTGAGTTTGACACTGGTTCCATCCTATAATAATTCATTGGGTTCCGCTTCGTTGCTAGATCTAAGTAGAGCCTCTGAATCTGTTATGATGAAGTCCGCGAAAAAAAAGCTTTTTGCCAACGCTGGTTGTTCAGAAAGGAAGAATGCACAAGTTCGGCGTAAATGCTGTTCTCTGAAATAGATAGGCTTTCCCAAATAAGATGCGCGTAAGGGGGGGGGGGGCGGGGGCGTTTTGCTGTGTAGAATCGCTGGTCGGGCAGATTGTCATTGATCTGTATGGTATGCGTAGCGGCGCCCCGCCCGCGCCATACGCGCTCCGCCCACTTGCAACTGCGATCGCAGAGTCTCATCCTCACCTAGACATCCTGCAGAAGTAATCCAAGCTTGTGTTTGTGTCCTTATTGCGGGCGGGTGGCCCTCTAAAGCAAAAACTAGCAAGTTGTGTTCCTTAACGTTCAGTTATATTATGAGATATACAACCGAACGCGGCTTTCCATCATATAGTCTTCCTGACGAGTCATTCATCCACTGCTTGTCGTGGAAAGGTCGCCGAGGTCATGGCAAGTGGTGGAATTTAAGGTCCTTTTTTCTGAAGTAGTTTTGTTAGACCAAGTCAAAACTTGCCTGCTTTTTATATTAAAGGCTTGTGGGTCCTTGAGTTGCTAATTCAGAAAACTGATGAAGCGTTCTTCACTCTATTTTTCTACGCTGGATTCAAGGACATGCTATTGTGAGGGGTGTCGAATATTGAGTAAGTCCCTAGCCTTTCAGAAGGAAAGCCAGCGGTCAGCCGATGAAGCTAAGGAGAATGCATCGCAGTGGGAACAACTGGAGAGGATACTGAGTGAAGTACGTCGAGAACTTGAGAGAAAGAGTTGCAGAACAGTCTTCTGAAAGACAGTGAAGCTCGGCTTCTTGATTCAGTCGATGAATACGGTCTTCAAGCTGAGAAGTGAGTTACTGACTTGCCTTAGTTGCCGCTACTGGTCGCATGACAGAAGAGCTTTTTTTTTTTTCAAAAAAATTTTCCTTAGGAACTTGCGTTTCAGATATCAACAAGAGGCTGAACGATTGCAAAAGGTAGTAAATCAGCTGGAAAAGGGAAAGGATGGAAGCTTGAAGAGAAAGTCGAGGAGATGCAGAAGAACCAAGATAGCCAGGAAGAAGCTCTGGGGAAAGTAAGAGCCATGGAGATGGAACGAGAAGAACTCGAAAAACGTCTAACGCAGCAAAGGTAAGTAGCATGAGCTGCTATCAGCTTCACAACATTTCTGGCGTGTAAACGCAATGATCAATGGAAGCTTGGAAGGCGTTGCGGTTTTCGGGTGAGTCTTTGGCACGTCATTGATGGAAGAGCATCCAGAGGCGGTCTTATCCACCCCTAACGCGCTGAGGGGTCTGATCCACCAGTGGCGTTTAATGGCGTCATCTGAACTCTGCCCGCCCTCCGGCCATCGTGATCGCTACCTTTAAGTTTCACGTTTTTCAGCACTTCCACAGGCGCCTCCTTCCACGTACGACGCCAGAGAACTTTCCATTGTTGTGAGTTCTTTCTCTTAGTCGCTTTCGAGTCGGTTTGTCCATTACCCAAATCATCAGCATTTCTGCACTAAGTGCTGGAGTTCCGTTCAGAGTAGTCACTCGAAACTCTGAACGGCTGTAAAAATGAGCTGCGCAGTCCGCCTCGAGACCGCCGAGTCCGTGCTCCCGAATAAGCGCAGGTGATTGTCGATTTCTCCAAGAACCTTAGGCTTACTGATGGTTACCGGGTGAGGCTTCCTACTAAACCTTGTGAAGGAAACGTAACGCTCTTCTTCTAGTAGTTAGACTTAATCCTTCACCAGGTTGCAACTTGTTCAATTAAATTGAATTGGACCTGAACTTGAAATGATAGCCTGTGATTTTTCCGTTTTGGAAGTTTTTGTAATTGTTTGAAGGAGACCGCTGGCTATTAATCCCTCGTATGAGCACTTGCGAGCATTTGGCCGCTCCCCGTCAGAAGTTGTCTTCTTCTGGAGAGACGACACCACGACCGTCATCAGCGGCTATCTCGGAAGATGATGTGTCGGAAGGCTATCGACAGGTAGAAGAACCTGTGCCTCCAGCACCTCGGGCGTATGCTCCTCAAGGTGAGCCTATTTCCGTATTTCTATCGTGTTCAAGAGCACTGCACTTCATGGATTCCTACTGGGCATCTGAATTAACCGCGTTCAACCTTATCATTTCTGAGAACGGTGTCATTTTTAATGATCCATTACAGCAGTGAAGCTTTCTTACGATGTTTTTGTCACTAATTAGGGCCCCCTTTTGAAGGTCGACGAACTAACATTACTGTCTACTTAATCTTCACTCTGGCTGCATCGTTGATGTATATGGTAAACCACTCCGCGCGAATTCATCGCTCATCGCGCAAGGTGAAAATGCGAGTAATCGATCGGTGGTCGCGCAGGCCCTGTGTCGTGGCAAGTTTCGTGACAAATGGCAATTCTTTGCGATGCCTGGCCTCTTCAATGGATACATATCCTCCCTGTTTAGCCTATAGCATTGTCACAGAGTTCTGTTGTGCGATCCAGCAACAATTTGTACCCTCCCTTCAAAAAGCCAGAAATTGTGCGGTGCAGACCATACAAGTGACGACGACGGCCTCCAAGTAAATCTGGTTAGTAGTGGTTCATAGTGATAGCTGATTTTTAGTAAATGATAGTTGTAATTACTGTCAACTGATCGAATACAACTGTAACAGGTTAATC